CGTTACAAATTCATTCGAGGGATTCTTGTCAGCGCTTGGTGAGCCGCCGGATGTCTTAGAATTACGTGTTTCTAGCATAATTTTAGTGCACAGGAAAAACAAAAATACTGACAAATCGATGAAACAGGCAAGAAAAAGAGCGAAATAATCAAAATACGAGGAGCTAAAAAATTAGCGTCCGCCCGCCATAAATATGCAAATGCTGCAACCTGAATGATGATGTATAAACCATTTTTTATATCTGCAGTGGCCACTCACTATGAACAGAAAAAAGGCAGTTTTAAAGCAATTTTGAAGAAATACATGAATGGATAGGAGAATATGCATATTATAGTTGAAGTTCAATAGCTTTCACTACAGCACAGAATGGGACAGTTTTATATATTATTTCCATTTACACCACATATAAAAATAGCTTTTGTTCGATTGTTGCTGTGTTGTTCTATACCTTTCTGTTAGATGAAACCTTGGAAAATCTTGTTTTGTTTTTAGTGTCTTCACCACCTTTTGCAAAGTACGCTATAAAAAATGCAGAATGATATTAATTACTGTCATCATAAATCATGAACTCCAAATGCCGGAGGGTGCATCAATATGAAGTGAAAATTTCCAGTGATAAGCACATGCAGGGCAACCAACTTTCCTTTTCACTTAAACACACATACAGCATGCCACTTAATTTTTTCAAGCGGGGTGTCAGAATTTGCATTTGCTGTGATGGCAGTCAGTCGGGTTTGAACGGCCTTCTGTCCAACACGGTGCAAAAATGGGTATTACACGAGAAGAGGTTAAGAATCTTTTAAAAAGCAATAGAACCCTTAGGACGAAAGTCAGAACAACATAGTAAACATAACTTAAGCGTATACTCTTTCTTTCTTAATGCATTGTACTTTTAAAACTGCTTCTTTGGAAATAAATTCTATCTCAATTCTCTAAAACTTTAAATTTCAGCTCCAGGCCCTATTAAGTACAAATAAATATAATATATATTTTACCTCCTATATGTACGTAATTAAGTACAAGGCGAGTAAAGGTATTGTTGTTGTTCATGCAGACCATTTGAGGGGTCACCCAGATCACATGCTATTTTTTTGTTATATTTAACCTAACCTTTTATATTTCATCTGTCGGGTGAGGAAACCTTAATCTCTGTTGGGCATTGACCCGAGACCTATCTCTTCACCTGTATCACATTTGAATTCTGCGACGACTAGAATTAACCAGCCAAAGAAATGTGCACTGGGTCATGATCAGTCAACTGAAGAAGACCTCAATGCCGATGATTAGGAAGCCTCTGTTTTTACTCCTGAGGCTTCACACTCTGGAGCCTACGCGAGAAACGTAAGCTCTGTGTACAACTGGGAGAAAGTACAGAGCACTAGTTGAAGTAACGGTGGAGGAAGAGGGAATGCCGGAGAGCGGTGTTTGCGAAGTTTGCAAAGACAGGGAACCATCTTTGCAATGTTGTTACTACGGCCCCTGACAGTTTTTCTGCTCCAATTGTGCGCGAGATCTTCACGCAGATAGAAACCAATTCCACGTTTTGGAACAATGGAAGGTAAGTTCTTTATTAAATGCATTGCTTGCATTGTAAAATTCATTGATATTCCACATGACATGATACATGATGTCAACGTTTCAGAGTACTATTTATCGGCTTGGCACTTCAAGCTCTTTTTTTGCGAATTAAAACGTATTTTTGGAATGTAAACTAACTCATTCATAATGTTGACCATTGTTTGTGTTTCTCTTTGTAGGATAACCGATTTGTTCCGTTATTTCCAAATCATGGAGTCTCGAATAGTGGCCATCGTTGCGCAATGACAATTACAAAATTGTTTGAACTCGTTGATGCCTTTGGTAAGTAATAAGTAAGCGGATGGAAACGAATAAATCATCTATATCCCTTTGATGTTTTTGATGAATTGTTCCTTTCTACAGCCTCGTGTCCTTTATTAACATGTTTTGTATTTGTTCATTATAGTTATGTCTCTAGGAATGGGTTATGGGCCCGTTTCTCGAAAGGTGTTCCAGTTAAACCCAGGGTTAAGCAAATTTTCAGCAACAGTGTTTTGCGTGTCTAGGAATGTGCACGGGAGCTTAAATATTCTATTCAGGCTTTACTAAGATATTCGTTTATGATAACACTAAATGATACCTTTGACAACCTACAGGAAAGTAAATACACTATTTAATACACTTTGTGGAGTAAACATTTTAATCTTGGATTAGCTCTATTCGGCCTATCAGGAACTGGCCTTTTGCTCATTACTTTAAGGGCCTCTTCATATGAGCATGGTTTCCAAGATCTTGCCTCACCTCTGAATCCTTTGTAAACTTTTCAATTTGTTCATATGAGAAGGCGGACTGGCTCGGTTCCCGAGATCTTGGTAAGCGGGCTGGAAGTTTTGCTATATGAACACTTCATCCCGGTTAGCGGGATGAACTCTGGCCATCTGGATGGCATCGTCTTGCATTGCCTGCTGTATTTTCCACATCATAATCATCCCATTTAACTGCAGTGATACAGCTTTAAGAGTGACTGATACTAAGATAGGCCCAAAACTTATAATTTTTGTGTTTTGTTTCCCGAATTTGGTGGCAGAACTCATCCCCTGGATCTTTGACCTTTTCTCATCTCAGAAACCGGGCTGAAATTTCTCATATGAACCCAAGGCAAAATTCAGCCCGGTCAACCGGGCTCATATGAAGAGGCCCTAAAATATCTGTTATAGCGCACATGCTTGCCCTACCTAATAACTATTAAGTCGCTGTGGTGTAGATTTCTATATTTGTACGGCCATGCATACACAAGATGACATGTTAGCTGTATACAGTATACGTTAGACTGGGATTTTCGTTGCTTTCTTTGACAAAATCCTCAATAATTGAAAAAGCAAAAGACAGAGTCACTGTCACTGCATTCTCTTTCATATTCGACATCGACGACTGTGGGATTTTATAACCAACCACTAAAAGAGTTTGATTTTTGTGCTGTCCATTAAGAAAATTTTATAATTAATCACAAATCAAACTGAAGAAGGTATAGTTGCTCCTGGCTGAGAACCAATGAAAATGCATGTATAATTTACGTTATCATATAAAAGTTGATATGTGCACACTACGCATCAACCAATTCTTATAAATTTGCTTCTGTTTCATGCCCAGGTAACCAGCATCTCAAAGAAGTGGCAGTATGTGACTGCGAAAGCCATGCTGTCACTTTTGTGAGATGTCAATTCTGGCCAGGTTCACCCGAGAGACCTTCAGTAAGTTTTCACTTCAAACTCATGGACCTGGCAGAGAAACTTTTCCTTCACAGCCAAGTGTCTGTAAAGGCATTTTCTGAATTGCTTCAGGAAATGATTCCACCAATACAGCCCACTTTTGTGAGTAATTTTTACACCTATTACTTCTTTTCCTGATTTCTCTGGCTTTATAACATTGATTGTGTTTGCCTTCGATCAATTCAATGGGAAAAAAACAAAACAAAAAAAGCTCAAAATTAAAATTATAAATGATATTTTTCGAGAAAATCGAGATCAAGGAGTTAAGTCTGCTGTAAAGCAGTGGAAACAAAACATGAGGCTTTTGTCATGCAAATCTGATTCAATAAAACATTTTACCATTTCTCAGTATATTGCATGATGACATACTCTGTTTTTTTTTCGTTTCATATTTAAATTTGTTGATCTCATGGAGGTTGAAAATAAAAAAGCCCAAACTTGCAGAACCAAGCAGAACCCAGGCTTAAGGATTCTGTTGTCATAGTGAAATGACATCATAGTCCAGACAATAGCGGTTCTGCTGCATAGCACTAGTGACCAAAGATGGAAAGAGAATAATCTCAGCCTATTTTCCATATAATTTTTTATCATCACAGGATTTTGATCCTAGCAGTATCCCTATTACTACAGATTAATAATTCTAACAAGTATTTTAACTTTTTGTAGATTTCATAATTATATCCAATATTAAACTCTGGATGCTTTGAATAATACAGATCAGTTAAATTTAATAGATTAATATTCATACATATTCCTTTTGGTGCTGTGTACTTTGAAAAAGTTCATTTGTTTGTGTTTTTTTTGTTCTTATTTTTCTATGGATAGTTCAAGTACAAGCTCAAATATTTAAATAGCCATATTCCAGGCTTATACAATGGTGCTGAATGCCCGTTGTGTCCCAAAGTAAGTACACTGTATACCTGTACTGAGGTAGCTCCTTTTGGTCATTGATGAATAGTTTTTTTGTAGGATACAAAATTCTGCTACAGTTCCTTAATAAGATGATTAATGCGATACGTTGTGATAAGACTATAATAATGATTAAATGGTAACGAAATGTTCACAATATGATGAGATTTTTGTTTATGCAGTAACAAATGCATGTATGCTAACTATTAGCACAAGTACAAGTGCATAATTTATAATGTCCCTGGGAAACCTTTCAGCTTCCTCTTTGAAAGTCAAATCTATGATGTTTGCTTCATCTTTATTTAAGTCATTTTTATAAATTGGTCAATGGTTACTACCTGGAAATTTTTTATTTAAGCTCACCCTCTCACTTCCAGAATGAATAATGAGGTCTGGAAAGGTGGTTATAAATTTTACGTCTGCACATGAAATCCTGTGGTGTGACCATGAAAATGATGCCTCTTCTACAGCATTATTTTCACATGATGCTACTTGCTTTTCTACAGTTTACAATTGAGATTTCCATTTTTTTGTTTGAATGTTCACTTTGGCCTTTTGTGGGAGAAAGAGAGTAATTTTAGTCCTTGATAGTTTTTAAATAGCAAAGCATTAAATATATATTTGTGCATATCAGTACCTCATTTATTTTAGGAAAATGGAATGCTTATCGAAAGTGTGGATGCTTCTTTCGGTCTGGCACGAAGGAAAGCAAAAGGTGGCAACATTATTTCTTCAAGGCAAGGAGACTTGAGTTTCAGCGATCAAGATGATGTGGATAATTATGTTGATAATTATCCACACACT